CAAGGAATAACTGTTCGGCGTCAGCAAGTCCGGAGGAAGCCCCACCATGTCCAGATACTCGATGACGAAAGGGTGAAGGGGGAACCTCAACCCCTTAGCAAAACTCATCGGGTATACTCCGAAGTATCCCGGTGGCGGAAGTAGAACATGGTCCGTCGGCCTGGGTGCCCTAACCCGCCCGAACGGCCCCACGTACATCTGGGCGACAAGATAGTCGGCCGCACTGCTCTCCGGCTTGATCAGGAATATGTTGGTGAGGTCCGGGTAGGAGAGGCCCGGCCCATTCTTCGGCCTCCTCACCCTCTTCGGCTTAGCAGCTCCCTTCACAGCAGACACCGGCCTCGGGCACGGAACGGCAGCAGAAGTGGACGCCCCGTCCACCACTCAGGACGCGCCTACGTCCTCACCCTCTGAAGAGGAGGCGGACTCCTCGTCCTCGCCTTCCTCGTCCATCAGCTCTATGGATTTGTAGGGGCTTAAACGCTCTATCTCCTCTTCAAACTCCTCGAGCACCTCGTAGTCAAGCGACCTCGTGGACGGCTGGTCGTCGTAGGGGTAGTAGTCCTCGTTCAAGCTCTTCATTACTACTACTACGGGCTTAAGGAGAACAACTTAAGATCTAAAGGTGTTTAAACGCCTAACACTAGATCAACTACCTAGGAAGCAAAGTATGAAAAGCGAGGAAGATCGTGATGAACACTAACCTCGAACAACGAAGAACAACGAAGAACAGGCTTGGGAGTTTATCTCTCTAGAAAATCGGCCAGCACTTCGACAAATTCAGAATGCAAATGTGATTCCTCGTCGGAGGGGAAGGGGTATTTATAGACCCCCCCCACCAACGGTCACTACACGTGGCACTCTCCCAATGGCCACATCAACGGCCACCACTAGGAGGCCACCACGTCACCAACGGGCCAGGACCAACCCATATCAACGGCCCACCGGCAAATCAGACTCTACGGCCTACACACGCTCAGCGGCTTTACAACTGCCAGCAAGCGCCCACAACGTCCCACTTGCTCGCCAAGATCACAACTGCCAAACAATAAGGAGACGGCAACGGCCAGGAACATAACGGCCACAAGATCAAAGAACCCAAGAGCCCACAAGCCATCGGCTCCTCGTCATGACCCTTGATGATAACTCTCTACAAGCGATCTGCGCGCAAGGGTTCTCCCACAGGGTTACCTTGGCCAGAAAATCGCCATGAGAGTTGGATTCAGGGGGGACTACGGCGAGACCGCTTCGGCCAGGGACTCAAGCAACTCCTTCACCCCTCACACTCTTCGGCCTGAAGCAGTGGGGGGACTGGGGGACTACACCGGCCTCAACAAAACAAAGAGTATAAACAAGGTAACCACAAAACATGGCCACATCATCCACACAGCACAACGGAACCTCATCGGCCAAAGGCCCATAACGTCATTAGCGACGGCCAACAAGCCACTAGAGGCAAGGACACTCATCGTCCTCCGCCAACAATTAATCTTGACGGGCCCTTCGGCCAAGAACACGAAGGCCGACCAGCAACGGCCAAAAGGAGTGCGCAAGCACCCTCATCGGCCACCCAAAGGAAAGGACGCCATCGTCCTCAAAGCAAGGAACAACCTCAACGGCCTCACCGGCCCAAACATAAACTTCAACCACCAACGTCCAGGAAAGGGAAAGCGCGCCTTCAACGGCCGACATAGAAACAAGACAGTCATCATCCTCAAACACATTTAAGGAAACAACGGCCTCCCCACCCGAAGCGAAGAACAGGTAACGGCCAAAGCACAGAACAGGATCACCAAAGAGGAAACAACGCCAAACGCCGCAACGGCTAAAGGCCCGGGGATGCCCGCATCGGCCAAGGGCAGCAAAGCACAGGAATCTACTCTCCTTCGCTTCGTCTACGTCTCAGCTTAGAGAGTGGGGGACTCCTGATGGAGTATATGGGTCTGAGCCCCAGGACCCACATACTCGGAAGAACAGAGCACAAGACAACAGAGTGGCGCCCTCGTCGGCCAAGACGCCCCCGTCGGCCGAAAAGGGGCCAACTCAGATTACGGTCCTGAGTTTAAGGGACTCGGGTGCCCTCATCGGCCGCGCCCTCGTCGGCCGTGCCCTCGTCGGCCACGCCCTCGTCGGCCACGAAGACCTCCCAGAATCGGATTCTATACTTACTCATTTGTACAGCCCATTAGAGGCTTTGTATTCGGCCCAGTAGTGGTCCAGTTGTAAATGGGCCTCCCAAGCCCAAGGCTTGGGAGCCCAACCCTAATTTTCTCTATAAATACTCCCCTTGGGAGTAGTTATAGGGGTTACGAAATCATTCTATTGAAGCATATTATTGCACTTCTCTCTCTAGCTCTCACTTCTCTCTAGATATACTCTATCAATTAGTTCCACCCCCTCCTAATCAAAATATCATAGGATGTAAATGAGTTTTTAAAATAAAACTAAATCTGATGGATCTTTAGAAAGATATAAAGCCGTATTAGTGACAAAAGGCTATACTTAAGAAGAAAGTTTTGATTATTTTGACACTTTCTCCCATGTTGTAAAATTAACCACTGTCAGAATAATTTTGGCTATTGCTAGTACTAAAAACTGGTTTTTACACCAACTTGATGTAAACAATGCCTTTTTACATGGTGACTTAAATGAAGAAATTTTAATGCAGCCTCCTCCAGGTTATTTACCTCATACCGATAACAGGATTTGCAAGCTTGTTAAGAGTCTCTATGGTCTGAAACAAGCATCTAGGCAATGGTTTTATAAGCTTTCTGATTCTCTAAAACTTTTTGGTTATAAACAGTCTCAGGCTGATTTCTCTCTATTCACCAAGGTCACTGGAACTTCTTTTACTGTACTTTTAATATATGTAGATAATATCATCCTTGCTGGAATCAGTATAGAAAAAATCAACGCAGTCAATTTTTTTAAGCAACGAGTTTACTATTAAAAATACTGGTGAATTAAAATACATTTTAGGGGTTGAAATTGCTAGGTTTGATAAAGGTATAAATTTGTGTCAAAGAAAATACACTTTAGACATTTTAACTAAATATGGTTATCTTCATTCTAAACCTTATACTACTCCTATGTATTTGAAAATTAAACTGTCTAAAGATGATGGAACTGTTTTAGAAAATCCTAAAACATATAGAACCCTAATTGGTAAGTTGCTCTATCTAACTATAACCACGCCTGATATTGCTTATAGTATACAAGTTCTTAGTCAGTTTCTTGCTTCTCCTACTGATGTTCATTTGAGTGCAGCTAATTGGGTTCTGAGATACCATAAGAATTCTCCAGGTAAAGGTTTATTTTACTCATATATTTCTGACGTTTCTATTCAAGGATAAACTAACTCAGACTGGGCTGCTTGTATAGCTACTAGGAGAAGTGTTTCAGATTATTCTTTTTACCTTGGTAATTCTTTGATTTCCTGGAAATCTAAAAAGCAACAGGTTGTTAGTAGATCCTCTACTGAAGCTGAGTATAGGGCAGCTGCTAATGCAGTCTCTGATAATAATCCCATACAACATCAAAGAACAAAGCACATAGAATTGGACTGTCATTTAGTTAGAGAAAAAATTAATTCTGGATTAATTACTTTGCTTCATATTAAAAATGATTTTCAACTTGCAGATATTTATACAATTTGCAGTCAAGATGAACATGCAAGACATTCATGCTGCTCTTGAGCGGACGTATCAAGGATAATACACTGGACTGGTCTGCTTTAGCTTTGGGCCTATCTATTGTTTTATTGGGCTTTTAGTTATTCTTATATTTCTTTATGTAATAGCAGTGTTCTAAAAAGCCCCGAAAGGCACCGCCTATGCGGGCATAGGCGCAATGCGTCGCCAGAAAGCCCCGCATACCTATTATGCGTGAGAAAAGGCGGCCCACCAACCAATAATTGTTATTATTATTATAAATAAATACTCCGTATGATTAAACATATGCTCACATCCCGTGGTTGACAATTGCATAGGAGCGAGTGACCTTGATTCTCAAGGCGTTGCCTATATTTAGCAGCTCAAGGAGTACTCCGTGTTATATAGAAACATTGGTAGTAGTATGTCTCCTTTTCTTCCGGTGTGGGACTAATTAGTAGTATAATGAGCACTAGGGAGTACTCCGGATCCAGAAAGTCACCCATCAAATTTTGCATCAATCAACTCTTTGGAAACGTGAATATGTGTATCCTTATATCAATATACCCTAAGACGTAGTTTGCTTTAGATTATTTTTTATTGTTGTTAGAATTCTTATCATCTTTATTATTAGTATTGTATTTTATTGTTATCATTATCAATATCTCCACCATTATCATTTTTTAAAGAGTTTTTTCTAAATTATTATAATAGTAAAATTTATGAACGAAAAATAAGATTGAAGTGACTATAAATATATTCTCATATTCACTATAATAATTTTTTTTGGGTGTTATTAAAATTATAATCACTAAAAGTTACCAAGTCACATTTTAACTATTGTCCTTATTTTGGTCATATACTAGGTATCATTTATTTATACTAATATTAATATTTTATCATTAAACTACTCGTTTTGGTTCCACTTTTTGTGTAATTGGTTATTTTAAACTCCGTATTTGTTAGATATAGGACTCCTACATATCTTTTTTTTGTTGAAAATGAGAAAGTATGATGTTTTTGAATAACGTTATTTAATATTAAATTTAACTATGTAAAATAGCTTTAGATAAACTAAAATAAAGGATAAAAAAATAAAACGTCTTTTCACGCCTAAGTCCCGCCTAATCTCGCCTAGGCTCCAAAGGTTTAACACATCGGTCGTGCCGCCTCGACATGTCTTACGCCTTTTAGAACATTGTGTAATAGGTATAAATACCTAAAACTGCTTGTAATCAAGTTAAGTTTTTCATTCAATAATAAAAAAAATCTCTTTTTTAAGTCAAGTTAAGTTTTTTTTAAAGTTTTTCATTCAATGAATACTCCTTCCTCAATCTACTTTAATAAATTTCTTGAGATAAATCTTCACAATGAGACCCTTGATTTCAGGACTATTTCTCAATCCTGTCCTTCAGCTTTCTCAAGTCAACTCATGAGCTGTTTAACCTGTTATGCTTATCAATTACGGAGTACTACTGTCATACTTGATTCTCTTCGAACATATCCCATTTCTCAGTGTAAGGTACGTGCTCATACTAAAAAATATTAAAACAAATTTCCAGATTTTTAATGTACATTCGATTTTCTTATGTTCTTATATATTGTGAATTGTAATGAATTTTTTGTTAGAAGCTGATTCCATTTCTGCCTGTTTATAATCCATATATTGTGAGGATCTAAGGCTAACATGTCATTTTATATCTAATCAAAAAAGGAAAATTTGAATAAAAAAGAATCGAAATGAACACCTTTTACTGCTGAGCATTTGAAGTGTTGGAACGTTGCTGCTCTGATTGTTTTATCATGAATGGATACTTTGAGGGTATGTTTGGGAGTTGGGTTTTGGAGAGGAGGGGATGGTTAACGAGTTTATGGTCCTCCCTTTTATGTTTGGAAGTTACAAAATATGGAGGGGTGGTTGTGGGGGGCTTTTAAGTTCTCCAAATTAGGGGATTTTGAAGGATAATCAATTAAATGACAACTTTAGCTCAATTTTAAATAAACATAATCTCAATTATTTGAATTTGTCACATACGTGAAGTGATATTAATTATAATTCATCCAAAACCTTTATACTCCCAAACAAGAAGAAGGGTTTTCAACCCTTTCCCTTCCCTTCCTACGATTAACCTTCAAAACCTTCTCCTCCCCTCCCCATCAAACTCCCAAACATACCCTGAGTGTTTCCTCTTCAGTTTCACCCTTGTGACTATTCTTGAGTAATTCATAAATCTCAAAAGGGTAAGTTACTCTTTATACACCTTCATGTATGCTTCCATAGCAATTATACTCTACTTACTTGTACTTTTAGTGGCTTTTCACCAACTATATCAATTTCAGCCCTCTTTGTTAACAGTGGAATAACCATTCATGGATGTTACTTTATTACAGTTTATCATAATTGGTAAATCCATTTGAATCATTATATCTGTTGTTACACAACATAAGATCGGTCATTGAACATACTCCCTATTAACTATTTCTTCAGTTAACTATTGCTCATGCTGTTTGTTTGTTTATCCATCTTTCCATAGGTTTCTTCACATTCATGGTTATGGATCCTAGGTTCAACAGGTTGCTTGACTCCTCTGTGACCGAATTCCCGTTGGAAAATGAGACCATTCTTTCTACCTTAAAAGAATCACAAGACATTCAAGACATCCATAAGGATGCCACTTCTATGACACATGCTCCTACTTTGTACTCCCGAAATGATCACGAATCTGCTCCCACACTCGAGTACATAAGCCAGATGCTACTGGAAGATAGTAACATTGATGAGAATAATAATCCCTGCTTGTTTTATGACCCTAATTCCCTCAGAGCTGTCGAGAATTTCTTTTCTGATGCCCTTCATCAAAACCCTTCATCGCCTTATCTAGTACCTCTTTTTGTGAACAATAAATCTGGAAGCCTGGACAGCACATTTGGGAGCTCCGGTGATTATAGTACCAGACTATTTAAATCATATGTGAAGAGGTCAAACAGTTCTTCATATAGCTTGAATAGTATAATGAATACCGAAATGGACTCTTCTGAAACTTTTAAGTTGGGTCCAAATGTGTTTAATGATAATGAGTCCATCTTGCAATTCAAGAGAGGTGCGGAGGAAGAAAGTAGATATTTTCATTCTGGAAATCAGTTGCTTCTCAGTATAGAGAAGGGGCATTCGTCTGATTCCTCCAGAGGAAAGAAGCACCGACACCCAGGGGATGTCGGGTTAGAGGAAGAAAGGAGCAGTAAGCAATCTGCAGTTTATTGGGAGGAGGAGGAGCTTGAGTTAGCAGAGTTGTTTGATAAGGTTTTACTGTTCACCGATAATATGGATCCTCCATCTGTAGTTGAAAAGAGCACCCATCAGAAAGGGCGAGGTGGTGGGAAGGGACATTCAAAGAAACGAGGGACTGGTGAAAATGTGGATATACAGTCTCTTTTAACCAGCTGTGCACAGTCTATTGCTGAAGCTGATCATAGGAGTGCAGAAGAAAAGTTAAAGAAGATTAGGCAGCACTCTTTGCCAACTGGTGATGCAAATCAAAGGCTGAGTCATGCTTTTGCAAATGCTCTTGAGGCACGGATGAATGGAACTGGCGCACAACTATATGCGGCGCTAGCTTCAAATAATATCACAGCTTCTGGAATGATAAAAGCCTTTGACACTTACATTTCTTCCTTTCCATTCACGAGAACATCGTTTTTCTTTGCAAATACAATGATTTATGAAGTAGCTTTGGAAAGTAAATCACTGCACATAATAGATTTTGGTATTTGTTATGGTTTCCAGTGGCCCCTTCTTATCAAGAATCTCTCACACAGACCTGGAGGACCTCCTAAACTTCGAATAACTGGAATTGAGTTTCCCCAACCTGGTTTTCGCCCAGAAGAAAATGTAAAAGAGACTAGTTGTCTTTTGACAAAATATTGTGCACGTTTTGGAGTACCATTTAAGTACAATGCCATAACAACTCAAAGTTTGGAGACGGTTAAACTTGAGGATTTAAAGCTTGTGACTGGTGAGACTGTTGCTATTAACTGTTTGTATCGATTCGAAAACCTACATGATGAGACAGTGGTTGATTTTGATACTCCGGATTTCCCTAAGGGTGCAGTTCTAAACTTGATCCGTGAAATAAATCCAAAAATTTATGTGCAATCGGTTCTAAGTGGAGCCCACAACTCTCCTTTCTTTTTTACTCGGTTCCGAGAAGCTCTCTATTTCTATGCTGCAAACTTTGATATGTATGATGCTACTATACCCCGTGATGATCCTCAGAGGTTGAGTATTGAAGAATCCAGGGGATGTGAAATAATGAGTATCGTAGCATGCGAGGGCATGGAAAGATTATATAGGCCTGAAACATACAAGCACTGGCATTTGCGTAATATGAGAGCTGGGCTAAAGCCTATGCCCATAAGTCTGGAGCTTGTGAAGGATTTAAGAGACAAGGCGAAGGCAAGATATCACAAACAGTTTCTGTTTTCAGAGGATGGTCATTGGATATTGCAGGGGTGGAAGGGTAGAATTTTTTGTGCTAGCTCTTGCTGGGCATCTGCAGAATAAGAAACTAAGAAACTATTGATAGCCAGGAAGGTAGCATGTATGCCTTCTCTGTTTATACATTCTTGTACTGGAGCCATGTCAAACTTTTACTTTGAAGAATTTTATGACCTGAGATGTCCTGAGGAAGTGCAATTTGAGAACATCAATTATGGAGGTTGTCTAGTTTCGGATGCATTCTCTTTGAAAGTACATGCTCTCTATGGTAGTTCTTGGCATTCTCTTACATGAAACCTTTTCTTACTCTCTTTAACCTGTTGATGCTAATGGGCTTTTGTTCGTTTATTATTAAATGCTCTCTTTTTTATCCAAGTTAAATGTTCATCCTACTTTTGTCAATTGAAAATCTCTAGTACTCCCTCCGTCCCAATTTGTAAGATACTTTACGGTTTACGACATTTGATCGACGATAAAGCAAATTAATCTCTGTCAACACTCAAATTAGTTTTAGAAAATAAAGTTTACATATCGAGAAACTACATTAAAACCGCTACAAAACCTGCAAAAATTAATTCCAATTCATAAACTTTTGATATATAAAGTAAATGATTAGGAGTAATTTATGTTGACCAAGTGAATTTTAAATGCATCTTACAATTTGGGACTGGAGGAGTATTATTTGTGTCATTATTCCTTGATGGTACGATTTCCTTTCTAGTTTCTTTCTTAGCGTGTTTTAGTTATGTTTATCTAGTTTGATTTTTCCCGTCATTAGAGCTTGTATATTTCCTCATCCTCTAATAATATTTTATTATTTCGAAACAATATGTATACATCTCCATAAAATACACACGCATATAGATAAAGGATCCAATGCAAAGTGCTACTAATTTTCAAAATACAAACTAATCTCGACCCATCATTTGAAAGATCTAATGGCTGAACACGCACAATAGCATTTTGGTAAAAATTGAACTTTTTACGGATGCAAGACTTTAATCATTAATATGCAACCATTTATTTCATCGCAGAGTAATATGCAATACTTTGAACATCAATGTGCAAAACAAACAACATAAAGATGCACCGAACAAATTTTTGCACGATAAGACCAATTTGTACTAGATCGGTACAAATTAATAGAGAAGAAAACAAAGAAAAATTCTATTTGTACGCGAAATTTGTACACCTTTCGTGCACATTTGTACGTAATTGTCGGTGCATAGAGACAATGTGTATACCTGTATCTCGTGTAGTTCATTGCATACACATGTAGCTCATTCAGCAATTGTCTGTGCACATAGACAATTATGTATAAATGTATGTGAAATGTAGTAGTGGGTTCGTTTCTTTCGGTTCGGTTAATCGGTTTTGACCAAAAACCAAATACGGAACCAAAGTAAAAAGTTTGTTTCGGTTTGATTTTACATTTCAAAACTTGGAACCACGGTTTGATTGGTTTTTTACTAAAATTGGTCATTTGATTTTAAATTTATATAAGAGTTGGAGGGATCAAACATATTACATGAAAAATGCAAGCATACTAGAACAAATAAAATAAAATGAGAAGAAAAATAAATTTCTTGAATTATATGAGTATGCGGGAGACATAAAAGTGTATATATTCTTAATTTACATTGTTTGACACTAGTTTAAAAAAAATTCAAGAATATATACTTCTTATGTGATACAGTTGAGATGAATTTTTATTTATTTTATCAATATAAAAACTTTAAGTCTCATAAAAACAAAAGTTATTTCTACTAATAACCAGTAAAGACATGTTATCGTAACATCATAATGCAACAAATTGCAACATACATACATAAAAGACATAATAGATGAATATGATTACATTATTATATGCAATAAATGTGTAAATGCATTTATAAATTGAACCAAACTAAACATAACAAAAACATTATTTCTCTAGCACAAGAAATCAAAGATTATTGATGATATTAGGATTAATTAGGATTAATGCTTAAAAATTAATAAATAAAATTTCATATTTTAATTAGTTCGGTTTGTTCGATTCAGTTCGATTTTGATGGGTAAAAACCAAAATCGCATCAAATAACTATAGTTCGGTTCAATTTTTCAAATACAATTTTGATTTTTTAGCAATTCGATTTTATTTGGGTTCAATTCAGTTAAATTTATTCAGTTTTCGGTTTTTGGTTTTTTGGGATTGAATCCTAACAAAATGTGTACAATAATTGTTGAAAAACAAATTACCCGGTTACTTTGCACTCTTGTAACTTTCCACCCCATAGAAAACAAATTTCAACTCCCCAGTCGTCTTAATTATTTCAATTAGCAATCACGTTTCCTCAAAGTCATGAGTTATTATTTCATGGACTTTATGTTCTTTTCGCTTTCGTCCTGTATCTGAATCCTCTGCAGGATTAAGTTGTTTTGCTGCTATCGTACAACTCTTCGCTCGTCTCCCCCTTCTTAGTCTAAGGTACGCGCTATGATCTCCAACACAAAAAACTACTAATTTCCAGGACTTTATGTCCATTCCATTTTCTTCTTTTCCTATTTATAGTGTAATGTAAAGATTTTTTTTTATTGGAAGGTGATTCCATTTATGTCTGTTTATTATATCTTATATCGTTAAACTCATTTACTGCTGGTGACGATCTAAGGCATTAACATATTATTTTATACGTACGGGGTATTTAATGAAAACAGGGAAATTTTAACAAAAAACGATCAAAATGAACACCTTGCTGAGCATTTCAAGTGTTGGTGCTCTGATTATTTTAGTATAATGAATTTTTACTTTGGCTGTTTAGTCTTCAGTTTCTCCCTTTTTGCTATCCTTGAGTAATTTATAAATATTACTCCCTCCGTTCTCCTGTTATTGTCCCATTGCGGTTTACGATGCTTGACCGATGGTAAAGCAAACAGATCCCTGTCCGCACTCAAATTATCTTTAGAAAAAGAAAATTACATATTCAGAAACTACATTAAAAGATTTACAAAGTCGCAAAAACCAGAATCAAATTTGATAAAAATTTGATACATAAAGTAAGAGATTAATAGTGATTTGTGTTGACCAAGTGAATAGGAAATGGAACAATAACAGGGGGACGGAGGGAGTATTACTCAACCACCATTGGAGCTCCTAATGTTTAATCTCACTTTCCTTCCACCTTCCTAGTACCTAGTTTTGATACTATAAATAGCAAGTTTGAAGAGTCGTTCTATCATCATCAAGCAAATTAGATCACAGGTCACCATAGCACAACCAAGTTTGAGTTGTGAATATCTTTGAGAGAGATGTGAGGTGCTTCTGTTAAAGCTTCTATGTCTCTTCCTTCTATTCTTGAAAGTAATAGAAGTATTTTTCTCTCATATTAGCACGATCCTGTTATTCCCAACAAGTGGTATCAGGACCTGGTTGAGTTTTTGGTATTTTCTCCAGAATTTTCAGATAAAATTCTATTGTTTGAAAATTCGTGTTTTCAGTTTTACTCAGAATTGCAATCTGAATACACCATTGTATTCGTCTCGTCGAGAGGAGAAAAATGGTATTTTTTGGGAATTTTTTGAAAACCGGAAGCCACCACACACGCCACCTACACGCCGGTGGTGAGGAGCTCGCTGACGTCATCGCTGATGTCATCCGGCAGCAGTTTCCGGGGAAGAAGAAGACCTGCATCATTGCTGACATCACCAGCGAGTCAGCGCCGCATCATCGACACACACGCAATCTTTGCCTAGTCAGCAGCCCGTGTGTCAGCCACATCAACCGCATGGCGTGCAGTTTGTATACCGTGGGATCATCCCATGGTGAGCACCATGCTCCAGGCCAAAAAACGATGCAATTTTGATCAATTTAAAAAAAATCGTGTGAACAGTACACGTGTATAAAGTAACTGTTTTTTTCTTTTTGTCCAAGTAGCATGAACGATGTAACTCGTGTGTAACGAAATGCAACTCACGTTAATAAGAAATGTTACTGCATGCAAGTCGAAATGTAATTTGTCTAAAACAATGGTTTCAATGTAAACAATAAAAAATGAGTCTAATTTCTTATTTACTTTACCTAAATAGTGAGTTTGTTGTGTTTTTAATAGTAAGACCACAAAATGTTTTAAAGAAATCATTTCCCAAAAAATCGTTTTTTTGTAAAGGAAAATCGATTTAAAAAAAAATATTCAATACAAGGGTTTTATTTTGTGATCATGAAATACAATATACTTATTTCATGTGCATTAATAAAATTTTGTAATAAATTGGTAATGAAAAAAATTAATTCAGTTGTAATTTAAGTAGTTAAAGATAAAGATAAGTTAAAAATCATAAATAATTAGATGTAACTCACACATAATTAGATGTAACTCGCGCATAAAATTATGTATCTCACGCAAAAAAGATGTAACTTACGCATAACAAGATGTAACTCACGCATTATAACATATATCTCGAGCATAAGAAGATGTAACTTCGTATATTATCAAATGTAACTCCAAGAATCAAAATAAACAAATTCAATGTCATAAAAACCTCTAAAAACATATAAAATCGATAAAAAAATTTATAGAAAAAGTGTATGCATATAAAAGTTTATTACAAAAAAATTTATGGATATAAAAAAGATATTACAAAAATGGTGTATGAATATAAAAAATATTACACAAATAAAAATAGTGTATGAAAATGAAATACAATATACTTATTTTATTTAGATTAATAAACATTTTGTTATTTATTGATAAAGAATAAAAAAATAGATTCAATTATAATTTAAGTTGAAGATAAAGAAAATTAAAATTGCAATTAAATTTTTAATATTTTAATTTGATGGAAATTGGAGAAGAATTGAAAAGCAAAACAAAAGATAAATAAAGAAAGGAAAGCAAAAGAAAAAGGAATGAAGAAGCTCCAAGGAGAAAGAAAGTAACGTACCTACTAGGGGCGTAGCTAGGGGAGGGCCAACCCTGGCACTGGCCCAGCCCAAATTTAAAAATTGTCTAAATTTTTAATGTAAAAATTTTTGTGTGATTTTTTTTTTCAAAATATTCTTTGTACCGGCCCAATCTAGCCCAGTGTCATGGCTCCGCCCCTGGTACCTACTAAAAGTGGGATCGACATATCATGCGGAAGGTAGGCTGATTCCAACGGTATAATTTGCGCCTGGCGTGCTCCTGCGTCAGCCGCCGCGTCATCACCCGGTCAGCCACCAGTCAGCACCACGTCACCTGCCACATCAACAATCAATTTTGCAATTTTGAAAATGGTGGAAAGCACCGTTGCGTCCGGACCTGCTTTCCGTTTTTCAAAATTCTGCTCCAATTTTTCTCAAACATAAAATAAAAATTATTTAGTAGGTGACAATGACCTTTGACGAGTCAACTTCATCTTCCGGAGCTATGATTATGCTCACGGCTACCAATTACACGCTATGGAAACCTCGGATGGAAGATTTCCTTAGCTGCAAAGACCTTTTTTATTCAATCGAGATGAAAGGTATTAATCCTTACCTGCCTAAGTCAATGGAGTGGAAGAAAATTATTAGAAAATCTATTGGTCAAATCCGACAATGGATTGACCATAGTGTCTTCCACCACGTTGCATAAGAAACCGACGCTTAAGCCCTTTGGAAGAAGTTAGAAGATATGTACCATGCCAAGACCGCTAGGAATAAAGCCCTACTGATGAGGTGCCTTGTCAATATGAATCTCAAAACTGGAACTTCTGTCGCCAAACATACTAGTCAGTTTCAGAGTCAGGTAAATCAACTATCTTGTGTAGAAATGCCACTTGGAGATGAAATGCAATCTCTACTACTTCTTAGTTCCCTTCCTTATAGTTGGGAGACACTAGTTGTTACTCTCAGGAACTCAGCCCCAGATGGCAAACTTACCATGTATGTGGTCAAGGATGCATTGTACAATGAGGAGGCAAGAAGGAAAGACATGAGCACAGATCACACGCATGCCCTTGTGACGTAGAATCGAGAAAGACCACAAGGAAAGCAACAAAGAAACAGTTGAGCAAAGTGGCAAATTGTAAATAACCAATAGAACTGGCCAAGTGCTGTGTTGACTACTGAGTGTACCATATGGATTCGAACCATCAGTGCATAGGCCAAGTCTCACATTTCTGTCCTCTCTGCCGAATTCAGGATATTTCAAGTCAATTTGCCTCCATTGCGGAGAATCAGACACATGACGCAAGTACTCATCTTTTTTTCTACCCTGAGAATGCCAAACTAAATGTTTGGAATCTTTTGCATTCATGAATAACCTTTTAAATTTCGGAATAATGGGGAGATACCACAAAACTTTTGCAGGAATTTTGGAACACTCAGTGTCACTAGCACTATTTGTACTCCTTTGTGCCTTATAGCGAGAAAGATGACATGTTGGACATTCATCAAGATTTTCGTACTCATTCCGGTACAACACACAATCATTGGGACAAGCGTGGAATTTCTCCCATTCAGCTCCCATAGGACACAGTAACTTTCTTGCCTTGTAAGTGGTATCAGGAAGTGTATTCCCTTCGGGCAACATCTCTTGAATTAATGTCAATAACTCTGTGAAACTGACATTACTCCATCCATGTTTTGCTTTCAAATGAAATAACTTCAAAACCGCAGACAGCTTGGTAAAAGTAGAGGTAGAATACAAAGGTATTCTGGCGGCATCAACCATACTTTCATATGATTTTGGTTTTTGTTCAAAATTATCATGTACATCCTTCAAAAACTCATCCATGTGATCATCATTGAAATCATCATCCCCATTATTTTCATTGTTCCAATTTAAGTTGGTGGTAGTATCGGGGGCTTAGCGCTTTAAATTACTAGCGGCGGCTCGCGGAACAACATTCTCACCATCCTGGAAAGTCTCTCCATGTAAAGTCCAAATGATGTAATTTTCTCTAAATCCTCTCTCAAACAGATGTTGAAGTATAACATTGGTGTCACTCTCTCTTCTCAAGTTCCGGCACTTTAAACAAGGACATAAAATTCCTTTATGTCCATGTTGTTTCTGGTGTGTAACGGCAGCTTTGATGAACCCATTCGCACCAATGAAAAACTCAGACGTGTCTCGATGTCCATACATCCAAGAACGATCCATTTTGAACGAAATTCTACATTTGTCCAATAATCATATATCATATAATGTGCATATAAGCAATATCATATACTCCCTCCGTTTCCAAAAGAAAGTCACGGTTTGACTTCACGATTATTAAGGAAATAAATTGACTTTACTGTAAAAAACACTGTTTAGACACTGTTTGGCACTGTTTGGACACTGTTTGACACTGTTTGGAACTGTTTGGCACTGTTTGGATGTAGATTTCTTTGCCAAATAAGGAAATAAGGGTAGTGTGAGTTTGTTTTTGAAACATCTCAACAAGGAAAGTGTGAGTTTCTTTTAGAAACTGAGGGAGTATTTGCTAACTGCTATATTCGTGCTCAATAAACATTTTGTTTTGTGGAAGTGAACAAGTCTTATATTCAGGGAGATTAGTTGAATTTATGAAATACTTGTTGAAGTGTAAAAATAATAAATACAAAATGCTATGCCATCTTTGTAGGATGTCGGGACTTGAGGTAGGCACTAAAATCTTAAAAAAGCTTTTATATTGATAAAGGTAGTGAGAAAAGGGGTACAATTTCAAAAAGGATGCCCGGAATGCCGGCAAAGTGCCGTTCTTTTATATTCAGAGTCTTTTTTTGTAATCAGATAAGCGTTTAGGTCACATTTTCTTCTCTTTTTCTTTTCACATTAAAAAACAAAAAGAAATAAACACAATAATGTCATAATATAATAAATAATTACACATACTATAATCAAATAAAATACATTGATAACCATGTCAAATAAACAATTAATAAATTATAATTAACTGTGAGCCGAAGCGGTCCAAAAAAATCAAAGTAAAATCAAATAAAAATGAAAAACATAATATATATGCCAAAAAAATTAACAAATAAACTCACTTTTATCAATGTCAAGTATAATTCCCACTTGATTAAAATTTAAGGAAGCCTAAACATGGGAACAATGGATATCATAGGAAATATACATTAATCTGAAAATATTTAAACTAAAATTTAAACTAAAATCAAATAAAAGTGAAATCAACCAAAATATACCAAACACTTAATTAAAAAATGAACTGACCTGCGATGCGGGCCGGAGAAGTCTGCGGAGAGCCGGCGCAGTAAATGGGGAGCCGGAGAAGTCGACGGCGTGCCGGAGTAGTTGCAGGCGTGCAGCCGAGCAACGAATCGACGGCGAGCGAGCCTACGGCAGGCGTACGACGGCGGCGAGCGTGTTGGAGAAGTCGTGACCTGCGATGCCGGCCGGAGCAGTCCACGACGAGCCGGATCAGTCCACCGCGAGCCGAAGCCGTCGACGACGTGATGGAGCAGTTGCAGCCGAGCGACCAGTCGTTGGCGAGCGAGCAGGGCCGGAGAAGTCGAATAAACGGAGTTGAAGCAGCGCCCGGAAGAAGAAGACGATGGCAAGCGTACGGCGGCAGAGATGGAGCAGCCGCCGGCGGTACGTAGCAGATGCACGAAAATCCTGTGGCGTCGTCGGTGCGGCTGCAATGAAGCGCAAATCAATTTGGTCTCAATTAGCTTAGGGTTTATTTTTGGAGACGCTTCTCTAATAAGCGCCGCACGCGCGGAAAAATTAATTAAAAATAATAATATTAGAGGCGCTTCTTAGATAAAAGCGCCGCACGCGTGGCATTAATTTAAAAAAAAACCGGTAAGCAAATTGGAGGCGCTTCTTAGATAAAAGCGCCGCACGGTTCATAATTTTTTTGAAAACAAATTATCCCGGAAACAAAATGGAGGCGCTTTTATCCAGGAAACGCCGCACGAAATCGAAAAAAATATAAAAAACAAAATATTCCCTAATAGAGGCGCTTGTGCTAAAAAGCGCCTCAAACGAAGCGCCTCTAATTGACG